CCCCCCCCCCCCTCCTGTACCTCAGGCAACCAAGTGTCTTCAGCCAGCCCCAGGGCATGGCACTTTGCTCCTCTGGCTGCCATTTGGAGAACTCCTTTCACTCCTCTCATTATTATCCACTTTCCATTTCTTAATTCATCCCTTTGCTTCCAAATGCTGCCCAACTTGCCTGAATTAATGAGCAATTTACATGCAGATTCCCTGTAATTATGTTAAGGGAACAATGAGAAAAGTGTGGTGATGGGAGCCTCCAGAGGCTGAGATTAGCAACTCAGCAAGAGTCTCTCCACCGCACTGGGATGGAAAGCTGGTGGAAGTTTGGGTTTCTACCAACTGTCTTGCAATATAATTGCAAGCTACTAGGGGAGAGATTTCAATCTCTCAATATCTCTCTAGGTGCACGAATATGTTGTAGGAGTTGAGTTAGTGCCAGGAATATCATACACAACTGGGTTGGTTTTTATTATTTATCATTTATTAATGTAATAGTTACATTACTATCTGTCCCACTTCTTCTCCAATGACTCCAGGTACAGGGGTCTTCTCCATCCATCTTTACAACACAACCCTGGGATGCAGGCTTAGAGAATGACTGGTCCAAAAATGCCCAGTGAATATAAGGGTTCCATAGGGATTTGTACCTGTATATTTTAAATCTCAGTCCATGATTTTAACCACTGCCTTAACCCTACATTTTTGTTTGTTCACTCACTCATTCTAAATGTTATTGTTCCAGACTGAAGACCATGACACATGTATTATGGCAAATCAGGGCCCTAATACAAAATTGATGTTTTAAAACCCAGGAGCACGGCAGTGTAATTTTTACAAAGATATCAAACAACTTTAGCTCAGATTTCTGGGTCACCACAACAATTTACTGCAATTTTATCTTGTATTCTCTGTCCCTGATCATATTTGCTGCTAGAGCAAAAAGGATCCATTTTTTTAAAGGTTGCATGAGGATGTTTTTATGTTACTGTCATTTAGAAAGACAACACACAGCGCTGGATTCAAACTTAGGCTGCAACTATTTTGTTCCCTTACCTGGAGCAATCTCCCATGACATTAATTAGACTTATTTTTCAGGAGATATCCACATATTTACAAACAGAATTTGTCACACTGATTTCAGTAGTTCTATTCCAAGCTTGGCTAAGGCTCTATCAAAACTACAGTTTCCACAAATGCCTGGATGTGATGCATCTGCAACCAGTTTGACAATGCTTTAACTGCCATGGGTCAGTGCTATGGAATTCTGGGAACTGTAGTTTGTTCTGGTGTCACAACAAACTACAGTTTCCAGAATTTCAGAGCATTGAGCCACAACAGTAAAGACAATGTCAAACTAGATTATCTCCACAGTGCAAATGCAGCCTACAGAATGGACTTTGCCTTCTGTATAATTCAAGTGTAGATTAGATTCTGACTGCCTCCTGCTATACAGTGCACTAATGGTTGTGGAAGGAAACTGGAAATGTATGATCTGTGCTTGAAAAATATTCAGGCCTTTTATGTCTAAAATGACATATTGTTCATCACTGGTCTTTTGTTCTCATATTGTAGTCTGGAAAATAAAGGCTAAGATTGATGAAATTTTAGTAACATGATTCTGTGCAGTGGGAATTATTGGTGGAGCAAGAAAATGTGGTTTCAAAATGATTTGGGGCCACTATGTTGATTCTCTATTGATTTATATCAATAAGTGCATGTGCCTCAATTTTCAGTTTCTGTAATATGGACAGCTGGGGATTCAGGAGACTATTTGGTGTCCCCTTTGGCTCCGCTTCACCAACCCAAGTGGCCGCTTGGAGGTAGTATATAAATACATGTGATAAAATAAGGAAGCAAATATGAAAATATCATCTTGTTTCCCTGTTATTAGATCTCTGTGTGGAAAACTAACAAGAGAGTCATGAAAGGATACAGTCATCTGAAACAGTACCCCAGCATTTCTATTCACTGATACATTGCTTCTAAACTTGGACATTTCTTTACTATAAGTGTTGATAGATCTATCTTCTATTTATTCTGTCTGGACTTGTTTAAAAAAAAGATAATGTATATCACTGCATTTTACACAGAGCCTCGAAAAATTACTTGTTTGGACAACACTGGCCATGCTGGCTGGGAGACTGTAAATTCTGTAGTCTAAAAAAGTAACTTTTCCATGTTGTGAAATTGTAGTGATGATTCCAAAGGAACAGAGAAGACGTAGATAGACAGAAATCACTCTTCATAATCTGGGAGCAATTGGATGTGACACTGATCAGCCAAATGTATAGGACACATTGAATGAGTGCTGCTTGCTGGAAATCAGTATGGAACATGTTGTTATTGTGTGCCTTAACATTGTTTCCAACATATGGTGACAATAAGACAAACCTATCAAGGAGTTTTCTGGGGCTGAAAGTGTGTGATTTGCCCAAGTTCACCCAGTGGGTTTTCATGACCAAGGGGGAACTGAACCCTGATCTCCAGAGTCATAGTCCAATGATCAAACCACTACACCAGGGGTAGGCAACCTTTCCCCTTTAAGGGCCAAGGGACTTCGCTCCCAGAATCCCAGGAGCTATTGGTCAACATGGGACTATTGGACAACATGGCTGAGGCTTCTGGGAGCTGAAGTCCCTTGGCCCTTAAAGGGGAAAGGTTGCCTACCCCTGCACTACACCATGCTGACTCTCCAGTATAATTCAGGACTGGGGAATTGTAGCATTCTGTGGGTATTGCTGTGCTGCAACTCCCATCAGCCCCAGCCAGCAGTGAGGGCTGATGGGAGTTGCAATCCAACATCATTGGGAGGCCCACACCTTTCCCACCAACCCTAAATATTATGAAAGCCTGAGTGTCATTGTTCCTTTAATATTTCTCTCAGTCTGTTTGAGAGCAAGAACCCTTGCACTGCAAAACCAGGCTGCAATTTGGAATGTGGTTAGTTCATAATGCAGCATAATGCTGCCACCTGCCTGTGACCGGCATGTGCTGGATCTCTGTCTCCCTATTGCTCAAAGATGCAAAGGAGAAAGAAAGTGAGGAATCCAGGAATTTGAAAGGAAAATCACCAGTGCAGGGGTCAACATAGATTGGCCTTGGCAGCCAGCTGTTATTTGTGGGAGGCACCAATTTTGCTCTTCTGCAATGGCTGGGTTTGTTGCTGTTGTTGCTGTTTGCCTCCAAGTCATTTCTGACATGGCAGTCCTAAGGTGAACCTATCATGGGATTTTCTTGGCAAGTTTCTTCAGAGGGGGGGTTGGCATTGCCATCCTCTGAAGCTGAGGGTGTGTGACTTGCCCAAGGTCACACAGTGAGTTTCCATGGCTGAGTTGGGACTCAAACCCTGATCTCCAGAGTCATAATCCAGTGCACAAACCACTATGCTATACTGGCTTACACTGGTGATCATGTTGGCAGTCATTGGAAACTGAAACAATTGCCTTACAAGCTAGAGGGCCCAGTGATGGAGGACAAATATTTTATTTCCTTCCCCAGTCACTTTCTGAATCTCCCAATGTTTCTGGGACCATCCGTATGTTATCATACCATCCAATATTTTTTCACAGATGAAAATTGGGACATGTGCAAGCAAGCAACATTAGAATGTGATCAAGATGGCCAAAGTTATTAATGAGAAGGAGCACACAAGCCAGGAGGTCCTACAGAAGTTTGCTTTTGTCTTGAGTCTCCTGAGAAGGGCAATAATCCTCCTCCTCTCCGACTCCATCCCTGAGTTAAATAAGGACATTATCACAAAGGGAGTTGCGGGGAGAAAGTGGAAATAAACCGGACAAGTGGAAGACTTTAATTTACGGGATTTGTCCCGTTCTGCCTCGTCTGATAACTAAATTTGAATTTAAAAGGGGGTTAATTCGAACAAAAACCTGATCTTTTCAAATCCTCAAAAATCCCGAAAATGAAAAGATCAGGTTTGCGTTCAAATTAACCCCCTTTTGTGATAACGTCCTAAGGGCCTTTACAGACTTCCAGAAATAATCCAGTTTGAGACCACTTTAACTGTCCTGGCTGAATGTTGGGAATCATGGGAATTGTAGTTTTTTCTGAGACATTGAGCCTTCTCTGTCAGAGAGCTCTAGTGCTACAAGTAAACTACACTTTCCATGATTCCCTAGCACTGAGCCAAGGCAGTTAAAGTGGTCTCAAACTGGATTATTTCTGGCAATCTGTAAAGGCCCTGAATGCAATCCTTTGACTAACTGAAGCAATTGAAGTAAGCTGAGTACAAGTGGGAAAAGTTGAAGGAGGTGAGAGAAACGAGGATGTTTAAAAGCAAGAAAATGAGAGGATTAATTGGGATTGTCCCAGCCAAACCATGACAGTCAGAAAATATGTGTTGTGTAATACTTCAGTAAAAAGTAAAAATATGTGGGATCAGGTTCTCCATCTCACTGGAGTCAAAAGGTTAAAAATAAACTCACACGTGAAGAATATTGTGCTGATATCTCTGGCATTTTGTGTTTCACTATTTATTTAATTTAACTGACAAATTAATTTCTGTGCCACACTCCTAGAATAGGCTTCACATCTGATGGGAGGTATTTTTGGAACTTTTCCAAGGCTCCAGCTACCTTAATTTGCCCTTACCTTCCCCTCAGTCTTTGATACAAATGGAAAAAGAGGCTTAATCTTTCATTTTGTATCCCAACTTTCTGTCTCACAGAAGTAATATAAGATACTCATGATATGTCCAAGGTTGCAGTTCTTTAACTTCAGTTAATCTCACTAGAAATTACCTCTGAGTAGGCATTTAAATCACTCCAGTTTGATTAGCTGTGTTTCCTTCCTTTAAAGGAAAGTTATTTATTACAGTGGTTTACAGAATCAACATGGTATAGTAGATTGAGTATTGGATACTGGGAAATTATAATTCGAATCCTGGCTTGGCCATGGAAATCCACTTGGGCAAGTCACACTCTCTCAGCCTCAGTGGAAGGCAAGGACAACTCTCCTCTAAGCAAATCTTGCCAGAAAACCCAGTGACAGGGTAACCTTAGGGTCACCATAAATCAGAAATGTCTTAGAGGTTGATTCTGCTGCCGAATAACTAGTCATCAGATACATACCTTGTCCCTTGTAGTTAATTGTTGTTGTTGTTGTTGTTGTCATTGTTCTACAGACTTTGTGTTTTATTGTCAAAACTCAATAAAAAATGAATTAGGAAAAAATAAATTATTTGGAGGTTTACACAACAACAGCAACAACAGTAAGTCCTTTATTATAGTGGTTTTTAATTGTGGATCTCCAAATTTTGTTGAACTACAACTCCCAAAAACCCTACAATTGGGTTTGCTGGCTGAGTGCTGAAGTCTAGCAATATGAGCCAGTCCAAGATTAGGAACCATTCTCCTGTTGGAAAGCGTCTTCTCTTTCAGGGGTGGCCTGGCCTACCATAGTAGGCTATGAGGGGAGAATATTTTTGCCTCTGGATCATCTGGAAGAGACATGAGTGGCAAAAATGACTACAAAGAAACAAACAGAAAACTGGATGTAGCCAGAGATCTACTTCTGGTTTTGAAAAAAAAAAAGATAAAAAAAACTGTTAAACAGTGTAAGGGGTCCCTAAAGCTGATTTAAATTGAGACTATGTAGGAGAGTGTCCACACTACACAATAATAGTAGTTTGATCCAACTTTAACTGCCATGGCTCCATCCTATGGAATTCTAGGATTTATAGTTCAGAAAATTCCTTTGAATTCTGCACCAGAGACTACCCCTAGTGCTTTAGTTCAAGGGACCACTATAGCAAATTCTAAGTAGATTACCAAAACCAATTCCAGGATTCCATAGGATGAAGCTCAGGCAGTGGTTAAAGTGGTTTCAACATACAATCATCATGCAGTGTGGATAAACCAGGGCATGATTTTTCATGGTAAATAAGATCAAGAGCCATCATGCTTGGATCTCCAAATGGGGCCAGTTGAGGAGTCTGGACCTTACCCTCTGCACAGCTGGGACTCTCCTTTATACTCATAGCTGCACTTCTTCAATCACTGAAGCATTTTTACTCCTCTCTTAAATTAGCGGTGCCTGGTTAGCACTGCTTCCCATCCAAGGGTGAAAGCCTCAGGTTGAGGGCATTCTGGCTCTTCTATTTTGGTTTGTACCAGAAGCTGAAATTCCTGAGTGGAAAGATGGAGTGAACAAACACTCAGGGGTCAGTTGATAATGGAACTCCCTTTCAGCTACAGCCCTCTCCAGGTTATTTAAATAAGAATGATTTTAGATGAGAGAGGGAAGCACCAAAGATGAAAGGGATACAGTTGGCAGAGGAAAAGACATGGCTAATGGGGAAGACTCAAAGAGAGAAGTGTGTGATCATAGGAGGAAGGAGCAAAGTCAAAAGGACCCTACTCTGTTGCCCAGGGGCTCAGTAAAAACCCAGAGTCTGGGTAGCATGAAGAGGCCTTTTATCAGCTGTGACCTATTTGGACAGAGATACCATGGGCCACCATTAGCTGTGTCTTGGTAACCTCTCCTTTGAATTTAGTGCAGTGTGTTGTATATTGTGCTGTCTTTGAGGACTCTTAGAAAAATATCAGTGAAGTGGAAAAGGTGGCTGACAGGCTAGCAGGTGCAACTAGCAACAAAGAGACAGATTCAGCAGTGTGTAAG